AAAGACCCAATGACATTCTTAAGGATTTCAATATAGTATACTTACTGAATTTGTTATATAGTTATAAATTAAATCACAAGTAAAGGGACTAAAATGTAATCATATATTATACTCATGATGGAGAAGGTGAGATCAAGGCTACAGTTGGCACAGTTGTGGGCCGTTTGTGTTACGTTCAATGACGAACCTTGGGGTGGCGAAGGGGGGATGACCCAATGGCAAAGAGTAGTTCACTGTGACTGGATCACGTCGCCAGCAAACTCTTGTCAAGTTTGACTTGAACACCCGTTACCAAGATTACAGTAGGCCCATTCCTAAATGTCGCCCTTGAGGCGTCTGGTTAACGTTTCAAATTAAATATGTGCTATATATGATAGTAGGGAATGGAGTCCTTTGATTGCCTTGTGATTGATAATTAATAGTAAATTGGAGAAAAGGACATGAGATCCCCATGCATTGCATGAGAACTTGTTAAATAAAGAGAAATTTCATAATTAACCTGCATCATGCATCATCTCATTTCATTTTTTCTCGCTTGTAATGTTATATGATGTTGTACTATTTTCCTATATATATGTTTCATGGCTTGATTATATTATGTGGACTTACCCTTTTCTCCTTGTTTTCTTTTGTTTGGTGTGTTTGTCTACTTGGTGTATTTTGTGTGCTATGTGCAGATGAGCTCCAACATTATCAGAATGTCAATACTCTGAATAGTGGATGACATGTGCATTTACGACGATGCTACTTAGCAGACCATCTGCCAAGGGTTTGCTAGGATAACTCCTGGTTCGGCCACTGAGTTGGGTTGGGAACCCCATAGACTTGCTTGTCGAGATCATCTTTCCCCTGCTGTTATATGTTACTAGTATACCTTTTTCTCTTATTATGCCCAAGACAACCCCAGCTCCTATGGACACTGATGTCCCTACTCCTCCACCAATCCAAGACAGTACCCCTGACTCCCATGTACCTCGGCCTTCTTCCCCTCCTTCTGTTGAACCTGAGTGTATTGACATTTAGGTAATTGAGTCATCTGTCTGACCCCATCTGCCCACTCCATCTCGCCGATTTTCACGTATCGACAAAATTGGACCTTCACACCATAGTCCCTCTCCACTTTCCCATATACCCCCACCTACTCCCGGTTAGTTGGAAGATATAGATGAGGGTCTGCACAGTCTGCCCACTGATCCTGAAGCAACACTATCTTCTTCGCCAGACTCTGATCCCTCAGACGAATACACTCCTCTGGATTGATGTTGTTTTGTATATATGTGTGTCTTCTTTTTGTATGATGGAACTATTTAGTGGCAATAACATGGAATTTAGTAGTTACCTTTTTGGTTATTTTGGGAGTTGTATGATGATATTTCCCTTGGGGCATGATGAAAGTTTGAGACCCATTTTTCTTCCTCTTAACTTCCTAACTACTTATGTACATGATTATGTGTTATAAATTAGTTTATTTCAAATGTTGCACAATAATTTATTTAGTACTTAACTCGCACTTAGATTTATTATGCAGAAATTCCTTACGTCACAATATTAATGGCACATACTTTAAATATATATACATACAAGCAACAAAAATTTTATGTAGCTATGCATATTGACTATCCCATATATCTATATGTATAACATCATGATGAGATATGGCATTTTAGGCATGTGCCTATTATATTTGGGATTGAAGGATTGGATGTTACATCTCCAGCGTCAACCTTTACATTAGGTAATTGTGTTTTCCATTTGTGCATGTCCAATACGACAAAAATACTTTATGTTCATTTCCATGTTTAATGTATTTCAATTCTTCTTTTGCACTACAATGTTGGGTAAGTCATTCTTATGAGCATTGATATTTATTTTATAAAATTTATAATCTCAAACATATATTTTCGATATTGGTAGGTGATGAATCCATATTTTATTGAATTTTTACTAGTCTTTTTATTATTCCTTAATAGAAAAAGTAGACTTAGAAAGTGTAAATAAGATGAAAATCCCATTTAGGTCAAATATCATAACTTTCTTAATTTTTGGTTAATTTACATTGATTTAAATAGATATAATTTGCAATTTTGATCATTTGAATAATTGTGCGAGAATTTCTAGACTTATTTCATAGATTTTTAGCCTTTGAGAAAATTTCAAACCAAAGTGACCACTTGCAGAAGTGATAGTGGACAATACAACAAGTTAGATCCAGAGGACAGACCAAGTGATCACTTTCAGATATGATAGTGGACACTTCAGAGAGCCCATATTACAACAAGCCTGCGCGTAGCCACCATCAAAGGCGAAAGTGACAACTACAGCAAGGGCCAAACTGATGCAGCGCTGCGTATAGCCACTTTCATTCACCATAGTAGCTACACACGTTGCACGTAGCTACTATCAACTATGAACGACAACCACTTCACTATAAATTAATTTTCACATTATTAGATTTTTGCCATTTTTTGGTACACTTTCAGAGCTTAGGTTAGCCTTGAGTGACAGCCAAGGACCCAACCTAGGGTTTGACTCACATTTTCTCTTTACTTTCCTTTGATTTTTACATTCATATCATTAAATTCTCTTTACTTTTATCTTGTATTTGTGAGCTCCATCCTTATGGAAGACTAAACCTTTTGTAATCCTTAGTGAGTTTACTTGGATTCTTGAATCCCTAAGTTATGAATGTTAATACAATTCCTTTTCCTTCATGAATTACTTTTTCTCAATCCTTTGAATTAAATTAATGGTTGAATGAGGGAGACATTGCGTAATTAACCCTAATTCATTTTAATGAGGTTCTAAACTTGGTTTGCTTAATTCTAGGTTTATTTCTAAGGTTGCTTAATCTTGAGGAAAGGGATTGGAGTCCATTGAATTTGCTTAAATTCGTATGAGATTTTAAGGTTGATTCTCGCTTGTTGAATTAACCTAATTTAAAGGAAGAGGAAGAGTGTTAAATGTTTAGAGGAATAGGGATAGAATCATGTGAATGAACTAAGGATTGATGCATCTTATTTATTAAACTTTATAATTTTGTTTCTTATTCTTTATACCGAATTTGGAATCACACAACCCCCCTCCCCATTTAATTGCTTTCATAGTAGATGTTTGTAACATGTTTGATGCATATTCTCAAACAAAGTCATCTGAGACAACCTAAGCTTGCATCCTAGACTACAAAAATTTTTCTGCATATTTTGATGAGGATTGGCGACAAATCTGTGTGTAATCTGAACGATCGTCAGTAGGGAACATTGGGTTATATGCCATCAACACCTCTAATGAGACAATGTATTATATGGATCCTCTACGCAAACTACTAAAGAACAAAACACATATTGAGAACCTATTTAATAAGTAAGTATGCATGCATTTCAATAGTTTATCTTGCATATGTGGTTGGTGAAATGTAACTTACTTCTTTCATCCACTATTATTAGTGCTCTTGTCACATATTGAGCAGAGAGATTATTAGTGCTCTTGTCACATATTGAGCAGAGAGGCAAGTGCAGCTCTCTAGGACAAATATGAATCAAACCTTTTTTAATGTTAACTTATTAGAATAATTTTGCATTAATTCTAGTTTTTATGTTTTTTTCTTCCACATAGAATTCAAAACAATAATGACTATGCATTTTATGTGTGTCTTTTCGTTGGAAATGCTTTGCACCATGGACAAACTACAATCCCATATAATGTAAGAGGATTCTATATCCAAAACCAATATTCATATATATTTTTATTTCTTCATGTTAATTAAGTCTCTACCATTTGGTTTAAATTTAACTTAACTAATTAACCTTTGTGTTTTGTTGTTTTGTCTTCAGTATTTTCCAGAGTTCCAAATCCCAACATTTCCTAATCATAGAATTCATTAAGTGCAAAATGAGTAGTATGCATATATGTACCATAGATATTTAAAGGACATATTAAGAACAATAGATTTTTAGTATCTTTTTTTTTTTTTCATAGCATTTGTGATACTATATTTGTAATAAGCTTAGGCAACTAGTGTATAGATTCTTAGTGGTTTTTTTTTTCACAAATACATTTTTGTTGTACTATTCTTTTACTTTGAGATATTTGTATATATGTTCCTAAATTCATTGGATTTTTTATTAATTTGGTATATATTGTGCAATTGCTTTCATATTTTGGTATATCAAAGGCTCTGTTATACATTTTTATTCTATTTACACTGTTTTATAAGCAGGAACATTATTTATTAGGTATGCTAAATTTTGAAATACTATCATTTTTAATAAGAAATATTCAAATTTTTCTAAGATTAAGAGAGCGGTTAACCAAAAATTGTTCTTAAGAGAACGGTTCCCAAATAACCGCTCTCAGAAATACACTTTGGAGAGCATTTATAGGTGAATTGTTCTCAAAAGTGGACTTTTTAGAGCAGTTATCTGGGAACCGCTCTTATAAGTGTTACATTAGAGAACAGTTAAGTAGGAACTGCTTTCTGTGCTAAACCTTTAGAGAGCAGTTCCAATTAGAAAGCAGTTCCACGTGAAACCACTCTGCAAAGTGTTAAGTTATGAGAGCTATTAAGCGGGTAACTACTCTCTAAAGCAGTTAGGTGCAAAACTGCTCTCTAAGTTCAACATCTGAGAGTAATTATTTAACCGCTCTCTTAAATACAAAACATTGAATAGCAGGCAATTTTAAAGCATTAATAACCGCTCTGTAAATCTAGGCGAAACCGCTCTCAGATTTCATTTTTGGCATAGTGTATAGATGATTAGAATTCATTCACTTTAAAACTGCACTTTAAAAGAGTCGTTTCACTTATTCTTTAGTTTAAATATTATTAAACCATACATGAATAGTATTCAATTTTAATAAATTTTTATATAAACAATAAATTTTATTTATCTATTCATTAATTTAAATTACAAACACAAAAAGAAATCTACAACTTCTAACATGTGCATTAGCTTGAGCAAAAGAAAAAAAAAAGTAAAAATTGGTCAATAACTTTTTTCCCAAAAACTCTTACTTATTTTTCATTATATTTGTACAAAAAGATGGTAATTAGTATCACAAAATAATGTACAAAGTGGAATTAAGACCGGATAATCTACATTGATGTTTGTTCCAAAATGCATTTTGCAAGGTTTTGACCCTCAAATTCTATTTTATTTACTGAGTTAAAGGAACACACTCAAGCTCAATCTCTAGCACACCTCTTTCAACTTTTTGTAGTCTTACTGATATATCTTGTCTTACCTTTCCATCATCAAGAGTGATAATACCATCCTTTACAAGAGTATTGTCACCACTTGCTATCAATTTTCCAAGCTGCATGGATTCGTTGATTGAAGATTTCTCATATGCCTTTGCAGCTGTAACTAGAGGTTGAATGTCTATTTCAGCCTCACCCATGAAATCATCGGTAGAGAAAGTGTCCTTATCATACACAACCTGCTTATATGCTTCACAAGAAGTTAGATCAAACATGAATGTGGTAACAAAATATATATATATATATATATATATATATATATATATATATATATATTTATTTATTATCAACAATGGGATGGATGTTAATAAAAAGGTAAGTGAGGAAACAATGAATAAAAGCATAGATCATGGCATTTAAATATGTTAATTTCAGTAGTATGCATTAAAAACACTAATTGAGTATCACAGAAAAGAAGATTAAATTTTCTAAATAAAAAGGAAACAATGCACAACACTTAAGTAGTTTATCATAAGTATCAGAAATCTTTAGCTAAACCTTCTCTTTAATGTAAGTTGTGGATATATAGGAGGAGAAAATAATGAAGGATTCGTGTTCAAAAAGAAGACAAAAAATAGTATTAAGAAATCTTTGGCTAACTTTTTCATTAATATAAGTTGTAGAATATAAAGGACAAAAAACAAGGATAAAAAGAAAGCAATATGAAGCATAAAATAGGAAACATTGAAGCACTGCTTTGTAATAAAAAGGAGAAAACAATTACATGAATTATGTTTCATGAAATATTGAGAATATCCCTGTTCTCTAGAACAGTATTATGCTAACATAGGCAGAAATGTGCTGTAGTTTAATTGTTGTTTTTTGCTTTATAATGCAAATAACTCGAATTAAAGTTCTAGGGAGATGACGGAAATTGTGCCCCTAAATTATCTTTAAATTTAATTATTATCTTTTTAGTTATTTTCAGTTTAACATGACAACCTTTCAAGTCTAAAGATTAATTTCAAGTTCGATGAGAAACTTTCATTGAGTGTGATTGCAGTAAAGTAGTAGATTAAAGTAAGCTGAAATATTTTTTTATCTTCATATTTTTTAACGAATTTTTTGTTTTTTTGTTTTTTTACAATTTTTGTTAGTTTCTATTACTAATTTCATTAAGATGTTGCTAAATGTTAAAATATTTTTTTGGACTATGTCAGTTGAAAAAACTAAACATATTTTACTGAAGTATAGAACTAAAACAAAAAATAATAATTTGAAATGACTAAAACCAAAAAATCACTCAAATATTGGATTAAAAATATATTAAAGTCATTACAAAGTAATAGGTGAGTCCATATAGAGTCTAAAATATCATATTGTCATGAATGAAAAGATTTAATAAAGTCCAATACAAGATTATGGATAAAGAATAATTTTATCAATATTGTTTTTCTCTTATCTCACAAGAAATGAGAAATGCATAAACTTACCACTTTAAGAGGAGGAATACTGTCAGGAATTGACAACATTAGGATTTCGTTCCAAACCGGATTTAAATTACTCTTTATGACGCGCGTCTTCATTGACTACAATAATATATATACATTAGACCATATTGTTAAATTTATGTTGCATATTTCATATCATTACCAATTAATTAAGAAGTTAATAGATTAATAGACTTACTTGGTGACCTAGAGAAAGAATGACATAAGGGTCACTCGTCATTACATCCCGAACAGCTAGGTTAGTGCCTTTAACTACGTTGACTTTGATCAAGCCAACAAATTCAATCATACCTGCCTATAACAGTGAATAGGGAAAAACAAGACTCAATATTTAAGAGAGAACAAAATTTAATGGCTCATACTTGTCATTTTCACTTGTTTTCTCTTTAGAATAAGGTCCAAAATAGAATGATCCATATATATGATTATGAACGCTCCAACTCTTAAGGTGTTTCTTAATAAGGGTTTAAAGTAAAAAGCACATTTGAGAAAATAGATCAAAAAATTCCCAATAGCAAATTTTGAAGTCTAAATATTGTTTAGGGCCATTTTTGTTGTCGTACCACATATAGAAGCATGAATATATTTCTCAATGGAAATCATATTTTTAGCTAACTTCAAAAGGTATATTATTCAATTTATTTGGCAAATGAGTAATACAGATAGCAGTAATCAAAAGAAACATTACCAATGAGTTGCTTTTCTTTGAACTCTTATGCTCAGAATCTTTTCTTCCCCAACTGTTTCGAAATGCATTCCCAATACGAATTTTAGTAGGTTGTTTATCATAATGTTTTTTGTCTATCGCGATATTGTTATACGTAGATGATGAACTTCTTGCATTAGGTACAAAGGGACAAGACAAATTCTCCTCAGTATCCAAAAACTGTTGCAGCTCATATTTTCTCCTGAATAATAAAATCATATTTGTGAATCATAATGGTGTATTTTACAATAGAAAAGTGAATTATTATGAATGTTCTTGCATGCATGTTTTTCCAGTTACCTAATAAATTCTGAGCGCTCCTCAATAGAAGAATTTGGCTTTGGTTTTCTCATGTTATTTGGAAGGCAAGCTTCGTACTTCTTATTGATTACCGTATTTCCACCCAACTTCACCAATGCATCAACTTGTTCGTCTGTCCATTCATCTAGCTTCAGTGATAGAACCTATGATAATATCAAATCATGTTATAGTTTTCATTTCTAAATTTGCAAGCAAATGCATTGTTAAAAAAATTTAGTATTCCCATTGAATTTTCCTTTAATCTAAGCCCTTTTCTTTTGTCATTTTGTCGCCTTCAAAGGTGATAATCAATTACAAGCAATCTTAACTTATTTTGAATAACATTTACTTAATTATTAAAATTATTGTTCTTACGATTTCTGGTGATTAATGATGAGATCACTTTTACACAAATTTTACATGTAACAAAGTTGACAGCAAGAGAAGAACAAGGAAACCGGAAACCAAGTTTTGTGTTTATTTTCAATTTATGCCGTTATAGTTAGATTTATCGGTATAAGTTATATTTTAATATTTTTATTATTATTCAATTTTTAAAAAATTAATATAAAAAATATAAATATAATTGAACGGTTAGATCAACAAAAATTATAAATAATATAAAGTTTTCAGAGTATAAAAATTGATATAACTTACATCAATATAATTTGTTTATTTATTTATTTACTTACTTACTGTGACCTGAGAAAGATGTCAATGTTATACTTAGAAGTGAAAAGTCGAATAACATGTTTATTTATATGTTAAGTTTGGAGCATACCTTTGATATATGGACGCCAAGGCTTCTGTGTATACCAGAGCATTTGATGCAAATAAATACTCCAAGACTTGAAGACCTGATGTTTAGCTAATGTTGTGAATAAATCGTCCACAACTTACCAAGAACTTACTTAGATGCTTAAAATGTAGAATTTTTCAATGAAAAAGGAAAGTTTACAAATTATTTTAAGACCGGTTTCACAGTGAGAGGAAGAAACTATAAAAACAAAAAAAGTTGAAATCGATGTTATTATTTTATTTAAGCGTATATTGATGGAAGGAATGTTTATCTTAATTGACATAGACATGAAATGGAAAGATTTGTAAAGAAGACACTATAACAAGACCTAGTTCATGATCCATGGTAATGTTATCAAGCAACATGAACAGTGACCAATACAAATAAATCAAATTCTTTGAAGCACTAAGCTAATACTTACACCCATTTTGGCTCTGATGACCCACAATCAGCACAAAACTTGTTTCCAGCTTGACGAGTCAGACTGTCCAGCCTTTTTTGTGGACCTAATTATAATCAATATTAGGAAATGAAATAAGATTAAACAATCAATTAAATTAGCTAATAAGATAAAATTCAAAGTAAAAGATTTAAAATCAAAAGTTAATTATACTACAACTCTTAGTTCATACATATATACATCAGAAAAGTCCCTTATCAATGATAAGCAATATAATGAGGTTGAATTAATAATTAACATGATGTGAGTAATTTTAAATTTTGATTATTTTAATTGTTAAAATCCATTCATTGAGAAAATGATAATCTATATAAACTCTAGATATTTCACAAGCATCTAAAATTGGCAAACATGATATGCTTGGGGCCTTGTGCACAAGATGTCTTGTGATGTAGATTTCTCGAGTTTACAATGTAGTTTACAAAATTTCATTGACACAATAACAAGGATATCATATAATCTCTCTCATAACAAAGATGAATAATTTTTTTCACCAAAACAAAAATAATAATAGTAAGAAGTGGCAATTCATTAAAATAACCAAGTTTAATGTTTTACAACAGATGCCCTCTAAGGCTCACCCATGATGCTTCATTAAGAAATGTAATTAAACATCACCAGTTAACATAGAACATTCAATGCAACATATAAAAAGAAGATAAAAGACAAAATACCAGAAGACATCCATCGTTCTCTTTGACTTTGAGTATTCATACTTGGTGTTTCAGAACAAAAGAGATCATAAAGGCAAGATCCTGATCCTACAGTTGAGACATTTCATTTTATAGTTAATCTACAATAACAACATCATAAATTGTGAAATTATAAGAGAGCACGCTTTAAAGTAATTTCTATTAACAAATACAAGTACTAATTTTAAATAAAAATATAGAAAAACTAGCCAATAGTCTTTGAAAGTATTAATTTAAACACCCCAAATTTTACCTTCTTCACAAATAAATATTTTATACATTAGTTTCATTTCACTTTCTATAACTTTATTCCTCTTATAAATAAACACCCTTGACCTTAGTTTTATTTTAATTGATTATTAAAGCTTACTAAGTTTACAAAAGATGTCTTAAAACTTTATTTTTATTCTAACTCTTTATGCAAATAGCTAATTTTGCAAATTGTGTTAAAATTAATTACTAATAGAATATTTTGTTAATGATTTATTAATTACCTGTAATATCAATCATTCGTCAAATTTTTTGTTATAATTCATATTTTTAAACATTGAAACATAAAGCTTTAGAATTCTAAACAAAAACCGACAAAAAAGAAAATAATGAAAAAATAAGGAGAAAATTCAATATTATAATAAAAATAGTATATAGTAGTAAAATAGTGATGTGATAATATATATATATATATATATATATATATATTTTTATTTATTTATATAATTTATCTAAGATATTATTTATAAAAGTACAATTTAAGGACTAATTAAATACAATTTGGAGTCAGTCTTATCATCACATTTATTTCTCTGATTTGAATCGTTTGATATGGTTGCCTCAAAAAGTTGGGCAAGTATATTTAGGTACTAAACTTTTGTGGCACTTAACTTAACGGAGCAAATTATGATAATTGACACAACTGAACACATTATCTAAAGTTTTTATACTTTTTAATTAAAAACAAGAAATCACAAGATCGAACCGAAATTTTCAACAACACGAAACACTTATTCAGATAATCATTAACCATAGGGAGCTCAATAGAATTATGGTAGTAGGATTCCTGATCACTAATATTAACATTAATTGGGTTGAATTTAAACAAATAAAACTAATGAATTTTATTAAAAAAATAAAGTGTTTATTATAATAAAAATGTAAAGGAATAATAAATATTTTTAATTTAAATAAAAAATTATTATTTTTAGATGTTTAAAACGTGCCTTTGATGTTAACTAAATTGAACATTTAATACTACTTTCGATCTCATTCTATAAAAAAATAAATAACTATTTTATCAAATTAATAAAAAATAATTATATCATTAATTTATACTATATTCTAAAATTTCTCCTAATATTAAATAATTAAATTACTTACTTATAGAAAATAAATAAATATATTCATTCAATAAATAATAGATAAATATTTCATTAACACAAATCTTACCATAAATAAATGCATAAAAATTTAAAAATAATGCATTTGAAAATAAATTTTTGTTATGAGAAAGCTTGAGTACAATATCATAAATGTTTTTAGTATTATTTTCAATTAAAATTAAATTTTGTCTTTAGTAATTCATGAAATATAGGTTAACATTAAATATTACTACTATAATAATGCTCTAAGATTTGTCTTTTTATGTCTCATTATTAGAAAACTACTAATAATTATTTGTTTATAAAGTTTACATGAGCTAATAAATATTTTCCATTTCCTTGAGAAAAAGCAAATTACATTATCCATTCTCACAGATGAATTGGTCTGCCATATGAATTATTTAACCAAGAAAAGGAAGGGAATGAAATGGTTTTACCATCAATGAATTAATCTTCTTGTATACAACATCAATGTTACATTCCTTTGAAAGAGAGGAAGAAGATAAAAGGGTCTTTACCTGATACATCATTGGTATCAGAATTTTCATGTTGTAGAGACATCTCCACCATCCAGTTTGAAACCAAATCAAGATGAGGCTACAATCTGATAACATCCATGTATTATTCCACTGTTTCTCTGCATGGTGATATAACATAAGGCCATGATCATCTTGCACTACCATTATGCAAACTCCACATAAACAAAATCAAAATATAATCATAATAATACAACTCAAAATGAAGAAACATAAACGACGCAATAGGTTTGAAATAAGAAAGCTTAAACCAGGAAAGACATAATTCAAAAGAAAATTAATCTCACAAACAAGATCATTTCCTTTCTTTACTGAAGTTGGGCATGAGGCCCCAACGGCAGATTATTCCCTGCAATGACCAAAAAGTGTCAAAATCCCAAAGCCAAATGAAAAATAATAGTAGTTTGAAGGGTTTTATGAATCATTGAAGCAAGAAAATTTTCAAATAAGTCTGAGGAAATTTGAGAAATAAACCTTGAAGGAGAAAGCCTGAAACTTTGAGAAAATTGCATGGAAAAAAACCAAATAGAAATAGGAACAGAAACTAAATAGAGGCTCTGGAAAATGAAACGAGCCCGAATCTTATTCTTGGAATCTGTGTTCTGACAAATTGCATAGTTTTTTTTTATTTTATTTTGATTTCAAACAAATTGAAATGAGTGGGTATCAAAGGTCAACGTGGGAATCGATGATCATTGAGATTGAAGTTCTTGGGGTGATGAACCTTCGACCCACCGTAGAACATTGATGTTCATAGAGAAATGCTTGAACGCGCTTACATGGAGCGTGTTATATCATCTTCATGATGACAATTTCACAAGTATTTTGGCAACACAGGTTGGTATCATCAATTCCTCAACTATAACCCATAAATAGATATTTCCAGTTGTTTTTCTTTCACCTGTCAATCTATCCAAGAAAAAAATAATGAAACTGAAATACGTATCCTCAGAATTTAACCCCTTTTATTTTATTTTTATAATTTTGTAATGTGCTTAAGGGTATAATGCATAGTTAATAAATAATGAAATTTTATTAACAATTATGATATTTAATATTATTGTATAATTCTAATGCATTAAATGTAATTTTTTTTTAAAAAAAAGTTATTGTATATAAGTTTTTATTGTATGCTTTTCAACATATTAGAAAACAGTTATTATTTTTATAAAACCTTTTAACTCTCTTAAGTTGTTGTACATTTAAAACTATAGTATTTTTATTTTATTTCTCTTGAAATGAATTTCTTTCAATATTTTAACTGAAGTCTCATTTCAGAAATAAAAACAGAATTTTCCACTTAAACATGTTACTTAATTTTTTTATTTTAAAAATTTATTTTTTATTTATTTAATCATAAAGTTTAAGATAATATTAATCAAGTAATCCTTATATAAAAGTAAGGTCATTTAAAGATATTTTTCACTCAAATTGAAATTACTTTTTTAATCTACATTTTAATATTTTAGTCACAATAAATTAATTATCCAAGCATTAATTATATTACTTAATTTTAATCATCATACTTATCCAATATTGTACTTTAAGTAAAAATAATTAAATACCAATCAAACAAAAGAGACTCCAAGAGCATCAATAAAAAATCATTGGTTTAAATTATGAGGAATGTTTAATGTATTATTTTTAATATATTTTTAACTATTGATTAAAATTTATTTAAAATTATAAAAATATGATAGATAAACATTAAATTAGAAATAAGAAAAAGAATGATTAATATAATTTTTAATAAATTTTAATTCATAATTAAAACAGTGTTAAAAAGAATATGTTATTAGCATCTCTCTTAAACTTGTAAGAGGAGAATAAAGAATAGAGATATCACCCTCTACAAAAATTTCTAGGTTAGTAAAAAAAAATAGCACAATAATTATCTGTTTAGGATTAAAGTATGCTTTCTTAATTTGTTTCGTCCTTTATAGTAATTAAAAAAATACTACAATTCAAATATTTATGAAATTGAAATATTTAACTTGTATTTTTATTTTTTAGTGTTCTCTTAGAGTTCTTATTTGGAACTATAATTTTAATTTTATGAAATTTTTATAAAGCTTGTGGTGACACTCACTCACAGACTTATCAATTCTTCCTTGAGTTATGGTGCCTGTAATTTCATTTATACTTTTTATCTATTTATTATTATTATTATTATTATTATTATTATCTGTTTAAGTTCTACCCAGACTAAATTTTGAGTTTCTGAATCCTAATTTTCATTTCGCAATCACAGGGAAATCAATTGAAGACTCTAATAGTAAGAGAATAATAACATTTCCATCAATTTTATCTTACATTCATAATTTATGTATTTTTAATTATTTTTCAGTGACTTTTTAGCTTAATATGCGTCTTACAATATTTTCTTTGACTTGGTTTGTAAAACACTAAAATTTGATTTTCGTAGTTTGAGATACACATCTTCGTTCTAACACAAGTCTAATATTTATCTAAGTAAATAAAATTAAGGAAAGATCCATTTAAATTCATAACAATAAAGGATTTTATCATTTTTTTTCTACCTCTAAACGCTTTTGCAGAAGTTTATTCAAACTAGTTCATAGGATTATTATATATGATGCAATATTTAAAGTATTTAAATAATAAAAGTGTAGAATACATTCATAACCAGATAGAGGAAAGAAGATTAAATAGGTGGTGAGCTTACCTTAACCTAAAAGAAAAATGTCTTTGGTGTTTGATGTGGTTCTTCCTCTTTGCTGCGTTTTGTTCTGCGCTTATCTCGAAGAAAGGCATATTCATGACACCTTCCAATTTGCCTCAATCGTATTTTGAGGTGAGGCCCCCATGTTTTAATGTTTGGGTCAACGGATAACGACTATCCTTTTGCAAGCTGTAACCCGCGTACGCTATTCTTGTTCACATTTTCTTTTAATATCTATTTTTTAAAACGAATACATAACAAATAAATATTAAAAATTATACATTTATAATATTCTGTAATTTTTTATAAAAAAATTATTACATAAATGTTTTTAATAAAATTTTATAATAATTTGTTGTTTATTATTAACTTAAAGATAGAAGTTAACAAATTTTTATATTTTTATTATTTTTATTATATCCTCTTGAATACACGTTAAAAAATTGAATTAATACTTGGTTCAATGCATAGCAATTGGTTTTTATTCAAATAAGGAAGTTATTAATAAGAATTGCAATATATATCTTTACTCTCTCGAAATAAACTTTCTTAGAGGGAATTTTAAACCCATGTTGATATTTAAAATTAAACAAACCCAATTTTTGTGGAGTCACTCACGACAGGTTTTTGACAATATATATATATATATATATATATATATATATATATATATATATATATATAAATTTCATGGTGCACAATAACCAAATTGTGCTCCGAAGAGAATAGAATAATTTCTTGGGGCTCTTATTTTGTTTGGATATGAGAAAAAAAATTAAATAATAATGTATTTTTTATTTATTTAAAAATAATATAAAATAAAATAAATAAGTAAAGTTAATTTTTAAAATAAAAGAATAAATGCATTAATTAGTCACTCAAACAGTAATGATTGGTTGTATATATTAATCTCTTATTTATTTAAATTGTCTCATTAATTCTTCGTGTTAGGTCTCTTATGTAAACTAACAGTTTAAAAATTAATTTTTATTGTTAAGTGACGCATAGATATTTAAAATGTCATTTTACACTAAGTTAGAGATTAATTTAAACAATTTTGTATTGTTGCATTGCTTTCATCTCTTATATTTGCTCTCCTAACTATGTTGTTTCTAACTATCACACCACCTTTTACATCATCATCTTTTCCTAATGTCTTTGCCATCTCTCTCTTTCTCTATAAATCACAACATTGAGGTTATTGTTGTAATTATCTTTTCTCTTCTTCAATAGCAGTTCATGGTTAGCTCATGGGTTCACGTAAAAGGAAGAAGGAAACTCATTATGTTTCTTGAATGGTTTGTGTTTGTTTCATATTTGTAGTGAGTGTGGATGTGTATGTGCATTCAATTCATGGTGAAGGGATTCAGAGTATGACAAGAATAGTTACTTCCACATGCAATTGTGACCTCTTAGCAATTATAAGTTGAAAAAGATGACAAAAACAATGGTTTTAGCGGGTGATTTGCAAACTCTTAGCAACGGGACGAGGTTCTTATGTTTTAGGTTTCGATGGTGGGTAAGGAGGATGATGGGAACATAGAGAGAGGAAGTTATGAGACAGAACTGCAGACTTTGTGAGAGCTAAAGTTACAATAGTGTGACTCCAATGAGAGGGATAAAGGGAGAGAAGTAGTGGGAACTTTGGGAGCATCAACTATTGTGAGCAACATGGATTCTAAGAAAGAGGAAGAAAGAGAGAGTAAAAGAGCTTTAAAATGATTTTTTTTTTCATATTTATATATCACTTTGTGAATACCATTTTTTTACCTTCCAGGATTATCTTCAAAATTAAAATAAATAAATAAATAAAATAAAATCATTTTACAGAAAAATGAAATTTTTTGAAAAAAAACAAGTTTGACTCACGGAAACGAAAACCTGCAGTATACACAAGTATATCCTTACATCAAAAACCGATTTAAGTACGAAAAAAGAAAAAAAAAATTCAAATTTTTGGCATTTTATATAAACCATAAAGGACCATATAAAAACTGAAGTAAGAAATCATAAAAACTGAAGTAGAAAACACACAAAGAAATAAATTTCAAATTTTAAATTCGTAATTTACACACATACTTTGGAGAGTGATTATGCGTTGAACCGCTCTTAAATCTTAACATTTGAGAGCGATTTAAACAACTACTTTTTTAAATGCAACATATTGGATAGCGCAAAATTTTGAAATAGTTCTAAACATTCTCTAATTTAAAACAAAACCGCTCTCACAATTCCTCTTTGGCACAGTGGTAAGATAGAAACGACTTCAAAGAATCCAAGTTTATATTTGATGGAGAAGTTGTGACACACAATCAATAACCTTTTTTTTTCTTTTTCTCGAGTCATGAGACCATAAACAAATTGATAATTAATAGTTAAGTGTTTGATGCAAGAGTGAAACACCACAAAGTGCATAAATAGGTAGTACTAACATTGTCTAAACAAACAATTTTTGCAGTGAAGTGTACTTCCAATTTCGATAGAAGTTGTTGAAGCCACAAGAGTTCAACTATTATTGTTGCTATTGTTTTGACTTCTACCTCAGTTGATCATCATGCAACATTCCATAGGTGTACCTACAAATGTCTAAATTGTGTGAAATTTAATATACATGATTATAAAGATATATAAGATAATTCAACTTTAGATTGATCAATCTTACATTTTATGAAAAGTTATTAAATAATATAAGTATTCAAATTTGATACTTAGTGTTAATAAATCTAAGGGTGACTATGACTTAGTTATGTGTGGTGGGAGTGAGAAAAATGTCTCATTTGATTCATAAGGAAAAGAGAAAAAAAAGTGAGAAAAAGGGTAAAAAATAAATTAATTTATCATGAATTTAAGATGATAAAATAAAATTATTAAATTAAAGATGATTTATCTAACCACTTTTGCCTACCAGGTCTTCTGGATTGAAATTAAATTTTAATGAAAAAAGATTTTAGTTACTTTCTTAAATTCTGAGCCAAACATCAAAATTTTATAAAATTCTCTCAGCTCTCTCCTTTTTTTTCTTTCATTTTTCGAATCAAACTGTATGTAAAACCAACATTGATGCTTCTATAAAAGAATCTGATTCTGCTTTGGGTGAATCTTCAGAGAGTGAGGATCAAGAGTTCACAGCAGCCACGAGCTTAACGAAAGGTAGAAGAAATCTAGTACCTTATGTCTAAGGTGGGCTAAGGAATATATGCTTAATTTCTTGAAGCAAATCTTATTTTGATGAGATTTTATCTGGATTGTCCCATGCCATCTTCATAGCTTTATTCTTATCAACTTTCTCACGCTCATTACTAATATTATTTTCATGAATTTTTCCTTGATAATATTGTTATATCTATGATGTATTTTTAATGGATAATATAAAATTTGTACACTGAAAATACATTAAAAGCAAATTCTTTATTTTATTTGACACCAAAAAAATAATAAAAAATAAATTTTAGGTGAAGATCATTAAATTTTAAATTTAATTATGTGAAATTTTAAATTAAAAAGAAGAATTTTATATGTAATGATGAAGAAATATGATGCTGATAAACTTAAATTGTTATAATAATAGAGAATAATTAGATCAAACTACTAAAAAAAAGTGACAATATTTTGTAAACCTCAGGCATGATAGAATAAGGAAGGAACTGGAAAACGGAGAGTAGCGAATAAAGAGTGTTTTTTGCATTAACCGTGCAAAAATTGCAATCTGTGCTCAATTTATAATCATGTGAAAAAAAAATTATGGACTCAAATTAATTTTGAGGATTATTAATTTAAATATGTTAATTAAGTTACATGTTATAAAAATATGGCATTGTGTCCAAATTATGCACATACGAAGTTTGTAAAAAGGTCAATGGCAATTTTTGCCATTACAAACTTATCGAGCACTGGCCTCTATCAATATAGCATCGAGCTTTGAAAAATGTCAATTATTAATGCACTCTAACCTTTAAAAAAATGGATTGAGATTGCCAACAAACAAATTTTGACCAGTTCATATTATCTTTTAATGTTCTCGATGAAGACAAAATACCATCACTACAGATGACCACCATTTAAAAGATAAAACACAAAAACAACAGACATAATAGTGCAAGAGAAAATAAGAAAGTTAAAAAAAAGGAAGAAGGTACTATACACACTTGGTTCGCACCCTTTTCTATTTTTCTTTTATTTAAGTGGTATTTTGAATTTGGTTCAAAGCACTTGACACCACACACAGCATATATGTAGACTATCATCGAAGTGTCAAATATTTGCTGCCTAGCTTTGGAAGTAGATGTCCATCATATATAAAAGCTAAGATTCTTAAATGAATAATAAGAGTTGAAGTGCAAAAAAAGTAAAATTTTGATTTGTGATTGTAGCAATAATTTAAGTAGTGATCACAAAGCATAGACAAACTCATATAAAATCATATATAAAATTGTACTTTTGACCCATTTTAATTGAAAGCTGAGATAAATCGATCTATTTTATCTTCTTTTTTTTAAATGAATATTAGTTGGGTTCTTGAATTCTGCTCACCTCCGTAAAAAAAATTATTTAAAGATCGTCATTATTATTTATTAAAATTATTTAACATTACATCAAATCGTCAAAATTAAAAAATATTTAATTTTAATATATTGACTAAGTCAATATTTTAATTCTCTAAATAATATATTATACCAAATATTCACCCATATTAGACATTCAAATATATTATTATATTTGCACTTTTTTTTTCTTTAAATATAAAGAAAAGAAAGTAAGAAATGTAAATATAAAATTCACTTACAATATACTATTTATAGATTAATATTAAAAATCCTCAATCACACTTTTTCTTTAAAAAAAATGTTAATGATAATTTTTTATTAGGTAAGATAATTTTTATAATTTTGTATGTTTGAAAAGTTATCATTGATAATTTTTTATATTGAAAAATATTTTTTTATTTAAAACTCAATTATTAGTGACTTTTTTTTGTTAAAATTTTTTGTAAAAAAAATACTTGCTAATTCAATGTAAAAAAATAAAAAATTTAATGCTTAAAATTTAAAATTATCAATGATAATTTTTTTAATAAATATTTTTTATTTTAAAAATTGTCATTAATGATTTTATTAAATAATA